AAAAAAAAAACAATCCACAACTGGAGAAGCTGCTAAAAGGAAAGACTCCTTCGTCTATATTAGTATACATTAATTACACAGCACAGAGTAGTTAGTAGAAGTAACAAAGCGCTACACAAAAGCACAAAATTGTCAAACAAAAAGAATCGGCATTAATAGACACACGTTACAAGTTCAAGATCTGGGAACATACCAAAAAATGAAAGAATTTTTCAACCTCTCAAGAATAAACTATTGCACATACACTGTAAAAGAAATTGTAAAACCACAAACATATCTACTAAAAGGTCTCAGTCCTGAATCAAACATCCAAGAAACAGAAAAAGAAATACTTGAACTTGCCCCAACGAGACTTAAGACATTAAAAATAATCCATTTTAAAACTATGAAATATAGCCAAGAAAACAAGCAACTCCCCATACTATAATTTAATTTTCCTCTCCTTTTATAATTCAATTTTCAGCTGACTCAGACAGGCAAGTATTAAGTAAGTAGCATAAAGCAAATAAATTGCCAAAAGATTCATTGAGACAAGCAACAAAATCAATGCTTAAACTGTCAACGACTAGGTCACTTCGCATCAAACTGTAACTTATCGCTGCGTTAAATGTGAGGTTAATCATGCCAGGGGAGAGCGTTAGGTCCTCAAGCACCTAAAGACAGAATCTTCTGCAGATCATGCAACAATTATGGCCATTCGGCATCATATGCTGGTTGCCCAGTCAAAAGAGATTCAACAGGCGACCAAACTACTCACGTCAATAAACACACAACGAATCAGATAACAAAACTTTACTCCAACAAGGTCTTCAAATTCTCCAATATTATTCAACTTATTTTTTTTTTCAGATAAGAGTAGACAAAATGGATATATCCTTCCGGGAGCATTCATCTTTCTAGATAAAAATGGTTTTATCCAAAATGAAGGCAACATCCCAATTATTTATCACACTCGAAGAAAGAAACAGGAAACAGCATTAAATTATGATCTAATAAATCATAACCAAAACCAACTAATCTTTAACACGGACCTTCCCAATTGCGACAATAATGTAAAAGCAACAAAATCAAGATTAAAGTATCCATGGGTAGGATAAAGCCTGGAAGATCTAGACATTCTCTCCTGTTATCTAATATTGATTACTATTAAAAAAAAAATTTCAATGTAAATTTAGACAATACTTAATAAACTGATTTACAAACCTGCAAATCGATGGCGATTACCAAGTGCGGACCGGTTCTAAGATGGGTGCCCTTTCCATATCCAGCCTAGACGCCGCTATCAACCCCACTGATGAATCTGGTGGCAACTCCGAGACGAAACGCTTCCTTTTCCATCTTTATCTTACCTTACTCACATCCCAAAATCGTCGCGTTCCCATAGCGCCGTAAGTCCTGGCATTTTTATTAAAAATAATAGAGGCCCCCGTTGAGAAACGTGACACTGTACTCATTATTTCGGCGTAGGATTTGTTACTCTCTGGGGCAATGATCAACGTAACCGCCGCTCTTCTTGAGCCTCTGGCCCATAATATCTCTAGCCTAACCCAATCATAACATTATAAAGCAAAAAAAAAAACGCAGTTTATTTATCGTCTCACCTCTTTTACGAAAACTGAAATAAGGTTTTCGACGCCATCTTCATGGTATGATACCATTTCCCAGTAGCTCGAGGGGAAATTTATTCGC